CCCCGTTCCTCTCATGCTCCATGCTCTTCCGGGCCTCCTGCCCTTTGCCCCGGCTGTGACGTGGATCTGACACACTGTTCACCTCCTCTCGAAAGCTCTCATGGAGCTGACGGCCACCGGACCTCAGGTCTGTCTGTCCCTGGCTACCCATGGGCAGGCTGCCTTAGGGGTCCCTTCCTAATCCAGGCCTGGCCCCTGGCCTTCACGCGTTTCCCTTCCTCAGTTGTGCTTTCTGGGTTTCTGCCTGTGCCCCCGACTGTGAGCCTCATGAAAACGCGAAATTGTGGTTTCACATGCCAGTTTCCCCCCGAGAAAGAGGAAAGCAGGCCTGACATCCGCGAGCTGCCCCATCCTCTCCACCAGGCTGTGGGTGCTCAGAGCCAGCCTGGCACAGCTCAGTCTAGGTGTGGTCCAGTTGGATACGGTTTCATGGCACATCGACATGAGACAAAGCCATCTGTCACCATGACGGATCAAGACAAAGCAAGGTCAGTCTGTAATCATGTCTCAACATGGACAAAGTCTATGATTTTCTACACCACAAAGATGACCAAACATTACCCGTCCAGCTAATCTGAGCCATGGTTCTTTTCCAGTTATGGCTTTGGCCTCCCTCTGATAGACTTTGTCATAGATAAGACCTAGCAAGATGCCTACTCAAAGCATTACCTCTTCCTCCTGACAGCATCCAATACACGCCAAAACGTCATTTCCTTAAACCCTCCCAAAATCACCAAACACAAGCCCAGATCCTAAAGAGCTTCTTTCTCAGCCCGCCCCCTGCCCCCTGCCCAGTCCCCCCCGCACTGCCGGGAGGATAACCCCATTCCTTCAATCACAAGTGAGTGCGTGGAGCTCTCTAGCTGAAGGGCATTGGTGACCCAAACCCACAGTCCCTGGATCAGGGCGTGGAATTCTCTGTTGAATGAACGAGTTGACCCGCTGGAGTAAAAGCCTATTAGCATTGCAGTGATGGGCTCACAGGGGGTGCGGTCCGGACACTGCCCCGGGACCCTTCCTCACTGCTGTCACAGCCCCCGAAACTCCACAGAGACTGAACGTCTCGGAGGAATTAGGGATGCAAGCGAAATTCTCTTCAAAAAATTTCAAAAGCGAGTCTGATTCCTTCATTGTGAGCTTTGCTATGCAAAGGGGGTCGGAGCCATGGCCAGCACAGGCATCAG